TGGGACTGTATCCCAGCGAGAGTCAGTGTGTGTGTGGGAGCCTGTACCCCAGTGAGAGTCAGTGTGTGTGTGGGAGCCTGTACCCCAGTGATAGTTGAGGAGTTAAGAGTAGACTGAATAGCTTGAAACATTTAGCTTTCTGTAGAATCATCTCCAAGCTCCTGCCCCTCTCTAGTCTCCTGCCTTAATTTACCGATATGACTTTTCTCGCACCCAGGGGTGGTTAAACGATCTGGTGGATGGCACCGTAAGTAATTATTGTTTTTTTAACTGATCAAAATGCCATGCATGGCTTGCCCTTTACTTGGTAATCCCCTGGCTCATTGGCCTCTATAGTTCAGCTTTAACAAGAAAGTCATTTTTTGTTGGTTCCTTTTACAGTGGTATGTGGAACCTTGTAGGAAAGGACTTTCATTGACATAATGTATATCTTTTACAACCTCAGTGTCCCAAATGCTTCACAGCAAATGAAGTATTTTGAGTTGTAGTCACTGTTGTTTTGCAGACAAATGCGGCAGCCAGTTTGAACACAGCAAACTCCCACAAGCAGCCATGTGGTACATGGTCAGCTCAGAAGGTTGCTGGCCCATTGGGACCCATTATGGCTGACCAACTGTCTCAGCTCAGCACTGGAACTGTCAGCCTTGATTATGTGCTCAGGTTTCTGGAGCGGGTCTCAGAGGTGTGAATGCCACCCAATGTGCCAGAGACTTTACCTGCTGTGTGAAACACCGGTCTGTCATTCACCCAACAGCAGCCGTGTTTGAAACTCAACAACAGGAAGTATTTTGAGGGGGTAAAAGAAATCTTTGGCTTGCAAACAAATGTTCATATGCCATCTGAGTTAATGTACCGATAAACTAAAAATCTAAACATTTATTTAACATTTTCTGGTTCGAATTTCCATCTTAATTTCCTTTTTTTTTGAAAAAGAGCATAATAGGGTTTTAACTAATTCAAGTACCTAATATAAAAATGTTACAAAGATGGACGTGGATGTTGATATTGTCTTCTATAGTAACTTATTGTCTCACTCTGCCCAATAATTTAGGTAGGTGAGGTAAGAGGAGGTTGACTACTCTTCTTCAAGTCAGCTTTTAATAGAATGTAGTATTCAAGAGCCCAAATAAAATTGAAATATATCAGATTCAAGGGGAAATCTCTACGCTGTTTGGAGTCATACCTGACACATAGGAAGGTGGCTGTGGTTGTTGAGGGTCAGTCATTTCAGCTCCAGGACACCTCTGTAGGAGTTCCTCAGAGTAGTGTCCTAGGCCCAACCATCTTCAGCTGCTTCATCAACAACCTTCCCTCCCTCATAAGGTCAGAAGTGGGGTTAGTTTAAATATTTTCAAATGCAGCAAGATCTGGATAAAATCCAGACTTCGGCTGACAAGTGGCAAGTAACATCCGTGCCACACAAATGCCAGGTAATGACCATCTCCAACAAGACATAATCTAACCACTGCCCATTGACATTCAATTGTGTTACCATGACCAAATCACCCGCTATCAAAATAATTGAGGTTACCACTGACCAGAAACTTAACTGGACTCACCACATAAACACAACAGCAGCTCAGAGACTATGAACACAACAGCCAGTAACTCACATCCTGCCTCCCCAAAGTTTGTCTACAAGGCACAAGTCAGGAGTGTGATGGAATTCTCCCCACTTGCAGCCCCAACAACACTCAAGAAGCTTGACACCATCCAGGACAAAATGGCCTGCTTGATTGTCACCAAATCCACAAATATTCATTCTCTCCACCACTGATGCTCAGTAGCAGCAGTGTGTTCCATCTACAAGATGCACTGCAGAAATTCACCAAAGATCCTCAGATAGCACCTTCCAAATCCACGATCACTTCCATCTAGAAGGACAAGGGCAGCAGATACATGGGAACACTGTCTCCTGCAAGTTTCTCTACAAGCCACTCACCATCCTAACTTGAAAATGTATTGCTGTTCCATTAGTGTTGCTGGGTCAAAATCCTGGAATTCCCTGCCTAACAGCATTGTGGGTCAGCCTCCAGCAGGAGGTCTGCAGCAGTTCAAGAAAGCAGCTCACCTCTAACCTTTCAAGAGCAACTTGGGTAATAAATGCTGGCCAGCTAGCAATGTCCACGTCCCATGAGTGAAACCAAAAAGGTGAGATGAGAGTGACTGTCCTTCATGTCATGGCCGCATTTGACTGAGTGTGGCATCAAAAAGCTGTTGCAAAACAACAGGATTCAGGGGGAAAACTCTCTGCTGTTTGAAGTCATACCTAGTATAGAGGAAGATGGTTATGGTTGTTGGTTATCAAACTCTCAGTCCCAGGACAATACTGCAGGCCTTCCTCTGGGTTGTTCCTAGGAGAAACCGCAATAGGTTCATTAATGTCCTTTTCAGGGAAAGAAATCAGCCATCACTGCCTGAACTGGCCTACATGTGATTCCAGTTTTACTCTAATATAGTTGCCTCTCTCTGCTGTCTGAAGTGGTTTGGCAAGATGATCAATTCTCTCAAAGCCTTAGCCATTGTTCAAGGAGAAGGCCCATTACTACTTTTTCGGGGTACATTGTGCTAGTGAATGAATGCTGGGCTTAGCGGTGACACTCGAATAACGAGAACAAGCTGTTAAAGTTAGTGAAAAGTAAAGCATTACGAGAAACATGAAAGATTCTCCTTTATTTTTGTTGACAGGTTCTCGATGTGAAGAATGTGCTGCGGGTTACTATGGTAACCCCTTGCTACCGGGCGGTCGGTGTTTGCCCTGTATGTGCCACAACAATATTGATGTCAACGATCCTCAGTCATGTGACCGACAGACAGGACAGTGCCTAAAATGCCTGTACAACACAGAGGGGTCTCACTGTGAACATTGTCGCCTGGGTTACTATGGTGATGCCTCTCGACGCAGCTGCAGAAGTAAATTTTACATTTTATATTTCAGAGACAACGTGAGGAGAGTTGTTTATATGCAGCCTGTGTGTTTGCCTCAGGGTGCTGATGGTGCAAATTCAACAATAAATTTCAAAGGGGAACTGGATAAGTACTGTAAAGGGAAAGCTCTGCAGGATTCTCGGTAAAGAGCAAGGCAGTGCCCAGACAGCACTTTTAATCAGAAAGCTCACCAAAAAGGGAGGTAGGATGATGGCCATGGTTGTTGGAGGTCAGTCATCTCAGGTCCAGGACATCTCTGCAGGAGTTCCTCACGGTAGTGTCCTTGGCCCAACCATCTTCAGCTGCTTCATCAATGACCTTCCCTCCATCATTAGGTCGGAAGTGGGGATATTGCCAATTTCAAAATGGTTGAGCACTATTCATGCCTCCTCAGATGCTGAAGCAGTCCCTATTCAAACGCAACAAAATCTGGACAATATCCAGGCTTGAGCTGAGAAGTGGCAAATAATATTTGCACCGCACGAATGCCAGGCAATGACCATCTTCAATAAGAGACAATCGAACCACCGCCCCTTGACATTTAATGGTGTTATCATCACTGTAAACCTTGGGATTACCACTGACCAGAAACTCAACTGGACTAGCCATATAAATATAGTAGCTACAAGGGCAGGTCAGAGGCTAGGAGCTCACCTCCTGACTCCCCAAAGCTTGATCATCACCTACAAGGCACAAATCAGGAGTGAGATGCAATACCCCCACTTGCCTGGATGGGTGCAGCTCTGGTAACACTTAAGAAGCTTGACACCATCCAGGACAAAGCAGCCCATTTGATTGGCACCACATCCACAAAACTCCACTCCTCCCTCCACCACCAATACTGAGTAGCAGCAGTGTGTACTATATACAACATGCACGGCAGAAATTCACCAAAGATCTTCAGAGAGCACCTTCCAAACCCATGACCACTTCCATCTAGAACGACAAGGGCAGCAGATACATGGGAACACCACCCCCTGCAAGTTCCTGTCCAAGCCACTCACGATCCTGATTTGGAAATATATTTTTGTTCCTTCACTGTCACTGGGTCAAAATCCTGGAATTCCCTCCCTAAGGGCATTGTGGTCCCTACAGCACATGGACTAAAGTGGTTCAGGAAGGCAGCTCACCCCAACCTTCTCAAGGGACATCTAGGACCGGGCAATAAATGCTGACCCGGCCAGTGACACCCACGTCCCACCAATAAACAAAGAAAAGAGGTACCAAAAACATGGCAGACCAACATGCTTCTTTCTGTGATGACAAGGTGTAGAGCTGGATGAACCCAGCAGGCCAAGCAGCATCAGAGGAGCAGGAAAGCTGACGTTTCGGGTCGAGACCCTTCTTCAGAAAA